TTTAATTTAACATGCATATTAATGTAAAAAATTTGTAGTATTTATATTTGAGAAAATAATTGCTATTATGTAGTATTTATATTTGATAAAAAAATTACTATTATGTTTTCAATAAATAATCAATACTCTTTTAAAACATGCCAGAATGTTTTTATTCTTTCAATCGTACAAAGCAATGTACATTAGAAAGCATATTGCAAAATAATTTAATATATATTCAATTATAAATAATCTATTTTAAACTTTAGTAAATTTGTAATATAATAATTATTTTGAAATATGTTAAATAGATATCAATATATTTGATTTAGTACTTTGAACGGTGATTGGCCCCCCGCACTATCCATTCCTGCCTCCGTCCCTGTATACTAAGTATAGTGGCCGGTGTTTATCATTCTCAAATTCTTGGTAAAATTGTAGTTCGGTTTAATCTTCATGAGTATTTGTAATCAGTTGTTTTCTAACTTTGATTAACACTGCATGCAATCAAATCTTCGAGTGTTACTTAAATTTTGGTAGATCTAAGCTGTAACTAATGATTTTTATATTTTTCCATTTTACATTCTAGATCTGCAATTTTAAATGATTTTTATATTTTTCCATTTTACATTCCAGATCAATTTTAAATGATTTCTTCTTTGTTCGGATCTGAAATGCTACTATCTATATTGAAATATTTTGCAATAATGACATTTATTAAAGGAGTAAGGGTCAAATAGGTCGTCGAACTGCACCCAATAATGCAATTAGGCCACCGAACTTTAAAAAGTTATAATTGGATCCCTGAACTAACGAATTCTATTCAATTAGTCTAATTTATAGGGTTTTCAAGTTGTTAGCAGGTCACCCCTTTTCAAATTTTCTTTAATTATTATTTAAAATAATTATTTAATATTAATAATTAAAAAAAAAAGAACCAGATCGACTCGCCGGAGGCGAAGAAACCTTCTTCGTCTCCATAGCCGGAGACGAAAAATATCTTCGTCTCCATGGCCGGAGACGAAGAGTTTCTTCGTCTCCATGGCCTCCAGCCATGGAGACGAAGACTTCTTCGTCTCTGGCCGGAGACGAAGGAACCTTCTTCGTCTCTGGCCAGAGACGAAGAAGTTAACTCCGTCTCCATGGCCGGAGACAAAGAAGGTTTCTTCGTCTCCGGCGAAGACGATATCTTCTTCTTCTTCTTCTTCTTCTCTTTTTTTTTTTTTTTTTTTTTTTTTTTTTTTTTTTTTTTTTTAAATAATAATTTTAAATAATAATTTTTTAAAAATATTATAAATTAGGGGTGACCTGTTAACAACCTCCAAAATCTATAAATTGGACTAATTGAATAGAATTGGTTAGTTCAGGGACCCAATTGTAGCTTTTTAAAGTTCGGTGGCCTAATTGCACTATTGGGTGAGTTCGATGGCCTATTTGACCCTTATTCCTTTATTAAATTATTATTTTTTTGTTGCAAAATATACTTATTTAACGGTAAAATTTTCAATATTTTCAAATATAAAAGAGTTAACAGTTTTTTCTCTTATGAAAAAAAAAAATTAAAAATCTTTGTTTAAATATAACAATTTTTTAAATGATATATATTTTCCAAATAAAAGGTTAATTTATTTTTTTGTTTAACAGATTTCTCATGGAAATTAAAAGGAAAAGTTTAAGAATTCAAGGGCCAATTTTTTCAAATTATATCATAAATATGGGGAAAATTAAATCATTATTTATTTGGGAAAACATAATTTTTTTTTTTTGAAAGTCCTCATTTTATAAAGAAACTGCCCACTTTAAACATAATTCCCACATTACCGCCACTAAGGTTCGAACCTTAGTCTCAAACATAAATATTATACTTTTAATTTTTAAATAGTCTATTTTTTTAAAATAAAAGATTTAAACATTTTTTGTTTAACATATTTCTTACGGAGATTAAAGGGTCATTTTTTTCAAATTAAATCTTTTTCCCTTTTTTTTTTTTTTTTTTTTTTTGCAAAATATAATTGTCAGACTTTGAAATGACAAATAACCCTGTAGAAACGCTAAAAAATATGTAGATCTGTAAAGATATTTACGTGATGGAATGGATGAAGACAAATATTTTTAAAGAGAAAAGGGAAAATATATATAAGATGGGATTACTTAACATATCTATAGTGTTTATTTTCTGGATTTTTCTCAGATTTGTGGCTGTTAATACTTTTGGAGCTCTATTTCTATAATAGATAGTGTGTATTGTAGTTTAAAAATAGAACCTTTTTTTTTTTTTCCGCAAAATTGTGCAATGGAAGTTACAGGCTAATAGAGTGAAGTTCCTGGATAGAGGGAGAGAGAAGGGGGGGGGGGGGGGGAGGAGGGGGGACCAATTAGAGAGAGAGGCGAGAAGAACGGGTAATGAGGACAAAGGAAAAATAATATTTGGATATAGATGAAATTTTGAGTCGTAGCATTAAAATAATTTTGGTCTAATTGGTATTAAAATAATAACACAATTATTTCTTAATAAGATTTCATATTAAAATATACATAATCTATTTAAAAAAAATGTATATTTTTTTTTAACAGTAACTTTAAAATATTTATAGTCTGTGCTAAAAGAAATACAAGTAATCCAAGTAAAAAATTCTTTTTCAAAACATTTAATTACATTTAGTTTTTTCCTATATCTATTACACTCATTTGTTTCAAAATTATATAGATTTGATGCTCAATGACGAACAGAAGAAAAATTGTGCACTCATGAAAGTGGAGAAGTTGTTGAATGCTTGGAACAAGCCTGTAAGTGATTATCTACCAATGCCAATGCCAGTGGAAAGTCATGAATACTATTTAGGTAATTAGTTGTTGTACGAAGAATTGCGTACGATAAAAAAGCTTTAAAGCTATAAACATGAATCACTGTTTTCTAAATTAACTGTTGAAAAATTACTCATATACAACAAAGTGGTGGTGGATGTTGAATCTAACCGAAAGGGATGTAATACCATGATTGGGATTGACTCATTCTGACCAAAGACTACCGTTTTAAACCCGAGAGGAGGTAATTTCCAATAATGTTGTCATATGCTATGACAATAAACAAGAATTAGGGACAAACTTTATCTCATGTGGGACTACTATTAAAGAAATCGGTGTTTAACTATGGACAGTTGTATGTAGCAGTTCAATGTCATACCACAATGTTATTATTGTTTTCTATATATGTAACCATTTTTTAAATTTAGAAATGCTTCCAATTTCAAAAAAATTGTGTATATTGCAACTATAATAACAAACATAATTACTTTCAATTTCTTAACATAAAATCAATATTTAGAATTTTATGTCCGTGCATCGCACGGGGTGAAATACTAGTAGAGCTCTAAAATTGTGAACATAGAGCTTCGAAAATTATGAATGTACAGTTATAGAGTTATGAATGTACAGTTATGGGATTATGAATGTACAGTTATGGGATTATGAATGTACAGTGATGAAATTATGAATGTACAGTTATTGAATTATGAACACAGAGCTCTCTGACATTATGAACTTACAATTATGAACATATAGTGAAAAAATTATGAACATAGAGCTCTAAAATTGTGAACATAGAGTTTCGAAAATTATGAATTTACAGTTATTGAATTATGAATGTACAATTACGGAATTATGAATGTACAGTTATGGAATTATGAATGAATGTACAGTTATGAAATTATGAACACAGAACTCTGACATTATGAACATATAGTGATAAAATTATGAACATATGCTCCTATAACGAAGCGGTCTGAATTTTATTTTTTTAAAAAAAAGTGGAAGATAACGGTGCCACTAACAGTACCGTTACCGTGTCCACACTGTATGCTGGACACGGATCCATAGCATAACGATTGTGGTCTGGACTGCTATCGTTTAATTTAAAAAAATCATATTCCACAAAACACCTAATCAAAAAATAATATTAAAAAATTATTTAATAAAATGTAAAATAACAAATTGCAAGTTGTTGTGAATTTAATAATAAATTAATAATAATAATATTATGAAGTAGAAACTAACCTTGACGGTAATATAAGAAATGGTTTTGACGAAGATTGGAAGGCTCGTTTTGGGGCGCGGATGTGGTGGATATGGCGCTGGAGAAATGAAGGGGTTTTTAATAACCGTTCTCTGAGGATGCAGGAAAAACTCGAGTGGCTCGCAAGGTACGACGTGGAAGTCAAGGGGGCTTTCAACAAACGTCTACACCCGGGGACTGGGGCCATGCAGACGGCCAATGAGCAGGTTGGATGGAAGAAACCGGACAGCGGATGGCACAAACTAAACATTGATGGTAGTTGCAAGGGACAAGGGGCGGCTGGATGTGGCGGCCTGATCCGAGATGAAGCCGGAGTTTGGTCTGCTGGTTTTTCTTCCAACATTGGGCGGTGTCATGTGCTCGAAGCGGAAGCTTGGGGAGTGTTCCACGGTCTTCGCTTGGCACAGCAAGAAGGCATAGAAAAGCTCTTGGTAGAAAGTGACTCCAAGCAGCACATTGACAGGATACACAGGAGTCAAAAGACAGGTACCAAAGTGTGCAACATCATATGGAGGTGCTTGAGGGAAGTCGAGGGTATTCCGCACGTGCAGTGCATGTGCTACGTGAGGGAAACATGCACTAGTACAGAAATAGTCATTCGCGTCCAAAGTAAAACATAATTCGCATCCAAAGTAGCTGGGACGCAGATGTCGGGGACGCTGATTGTATATACAATCAGCGTCCAAAGTTACTTTGGACGCGAAAAATGATAATTCGCGTCCAAAGTTCGTGAACTTTGGACGCGTATAGTGTTTATTTATTTAAAAAAATATATACTATACGCGTCCAAAGTTCCTGAACTTTGGACGCGTATAGTAAAAAGTTTTTTTTTTAAAAAAATATATTTTTTTTTATAAAACTACCAATATTTTCCTGTACATCCCAGCATAACTATCAAATAATATATTTCAACATTAATCAATTTAAGATGTATACTACACACCAATTCTATCAACCAAAACACACCAATCTAAAATTTCAATTCGAATAACATTTTACTACAAATAAATTACAAATTCTAAATATTAACAATTAAAATAAAATTATAATGACTTCCTAATTGGCTAGAGTAGCCATTCAAGACACAGACACACCAAAAGAAGATAAACATTCATAGTTCTATGAATAGTGATCACAATAAATACCTCGCCATCTTCTCCTGTTGACTAAGCCTTTTGCCCTAAACCTGATAAGAGAAAAGGAATGAAAACATGCATCAGACACAAAATAAGACAACATAGTGAAGAAGCAAATGAATCAATAAAATCATGTCAATTTGTCAGAATGATTGAAAAGGACTAAACATATGATATTTCTTGATACTAAGACAACATAGTGAAGAAGCAAATGAATCAATAAAATCATGTCAATTTGTCAGAATGATTAAAAAGGACTAAACAGATGATATTTCTTGATACTATAAAAAAAAAAAAAAAAAATTGACCTTGACAAACATTAAACTGAAAACAAAGGCATAATTGAAGCAACAAAGTCTTTACCATTTCTATGCTTCATCCTGATAAACAGATAATTAGTTTGGAGGAAATGGTTAAACTCATTTTAAACAGAGCAGTCAGCTAGATTAGTTCTCAAACTAAACAATTCAAAAAAAAAAAAAAGAGCAAGATGAGCTCAACTGCCAAAATGACTCCATCATCTAACAGTTGCGAGATACAAAGTCCATTGACAGACTTATAGAGCTCATTCAAACAAGTAAAACCATTTCCATCAATTCCATGAAAACTCAATAATAAATTAACCATGATTTCAACTCCTTATGTATAATGTCAAATAGATAAGGAGCTTATCTGCTGAACTTTGAATATCAAAGTTTTTGAAGAAGACATTGGCTCTATAGAATGTGATTGCTTCATCAACTATACCAATGCTATCTGCATGAACAGTATAACATAAGCAGTTCTCTCCCTCTCAATCTCTCATAAACAAAAGCAACATAGGAAAAGATAAATCCTCTACAAGATTATCCAGGTAAAGATGATAACCTTGTCCATCTTCTCCACTCTAGTGGATGAATAAAGGTAAGATTTAAAACCTGCAACACCAAGTTAACACTATTTAAGAGAAAAATAAATAAATTATGGCACAATGACTCACCTTATTCAAAGTTCGGACAGCAGCAAACCTAAGAACTGGCTTGGAAGAGCTTAAAAAGAGTTATAGCACAGTAATTGCAGGAGTCAATTCCCGACTACTGACACCACTCAATTCTGTAATTGCTCTAGCTGCTTCAAAAATCACCATCTCTGCCTTGTGACCTGATATCCTTCAGCCTGTTCAACGGGAACAAACGGGTTCTGATTCTACCGGCCAATTGTTTGTGGTATGTTTTCTGTTAGTGAACCATTAGAATTCTGGTTGAAGCACTTAACGCAAGTAAGGCATCCAAATCTTTCATGGTTGGAGGGTTCACACCAGCTACAAAAACCAACAAATGAAAGAGATAAAAAGAGAAGATCCGTTTAGTTCAAAGATCTGCACACAATTAATCAAATAAATGCAACCATATTAAAATGTACAACTCTAGTGCCTTCAAAAGCCATGTTGAAAACTTCCTCCTTAGAGAAGTACTGAAAATGGTTTTTACTCAAAGGACTAAATAACATTACTGCCAAATCACAGTGCTATAAGATTGTCTCTGCATAAAAAATCCTTATAACAGAGATTGACCAATATGCACTACACTTATAACAGAGATTGACCAATATGCACTACATTCATGAATCACGGAAATCACATCCAACTTGAAAATACAGGTACGGTTAACAGACATTAATTATATCTGTGTCATGAATTCATAACGTTACAATTACGTCATTGTCTGATATTCTGGATATATGCTAAAGAAAGGATGAGTATTGCACTATCTGTCTTTCTCCCATATGCATTCAATAGAGCTAACTGCTAAGGACAAGAAAGCAATAAACTAAGTTATGCATCCCATGTTCCCAGAGATCATATAAATCAAAAGAACCCTTCATAAACATTTTTTGCTGCCCAAAAGAACCAGTCAAATTGTCCAAAAGTTACCTCTCATAGTATTGTTATAAGTTCATGGAACTATGCAAGTAAGAGATGCCATGATAACAGTATTTTACAAACCTCTTTTAGCAAGTCTGCATCTTCTGATCTAGCCTTGTTTTCATATCCCGGTGGTGGAAATGGAAAGCAGCGAGACATTGCACACAATTATACAACAGGCAAATTAAGTCTCATGACAAAAGTCAATGTTCAAAATTAAGCTTACATTTTTGCTTCCTCCAAACCTTGAACAAAATTTGGTTTTCTGCATTTCAAGTGAAATGAAGAAAGAAGTCCTCTAAGAAAAGAGATAACTTGCTTCACTTTGATCCTGACAACCAATGATAATAAGTTTATATTAGTGCACACGGAAGTTAATTTTACATAAAGACCGATAAGCAAGTTAATCATTACATGTTGAACCACAGATACTAAATAAATTCCTGAAGCAAATACCTAGCAAAGTCATGGCTGCCAAATTAGATGATGCTATATTTTGAAAATGAACAGAAGATACTCCTATATGCAAAGCAAGGATGACATGGTTAGAGTGATTGTCTGTAATGTGGCCATATATGTCACAGGAAATTGCATTAAACCAATCTGCAAGGTAATAAACTAAGCCACCTTCCACCTTCAATCTTTCCATAAGTACAGGGACCTCCTGAGAGATCAATCACAACATACCTGAAATAGAATGACAAGAGGCTCAAACTATTGTAAATACACTACCATGCCAATCTTGCTTGGAAACTTTCAATCATTTTTTTTTTTCAAAAGGCCTTGCATTATGACCAGGCCCCTCCAATATACTTCAAGCTCCATTGGTCCACCAAGCTCGGTGGACCAACCTTATGCCTCCGAGATTTTCCCAGAATAAACAGGCCATTCGGCCTTCATTAAAACCAGGAGTCTAAGCAATTAAGCTCCAGCTTCAGTACTCCTTCACTAGCATTCAAATTCCAGTTCCCATGCACCTCTCATCACAATAAACCAACTACAACCATGAGGCATCACTTTCCAAGATAGAATCAACCCAATCCTCCACAAAAGCTTTAGAGTGGGGCTGCAAAAATCACCATGGGTCCATATCCTCAATCATGCTGCAACTAGCTATACTCACAGACCAGATTAGTTTAGTTATTGAAGTTTGTAAAAACCAACTAATTTGATCGAGTGGTACCCTATAAGTAGGGACATGTCCTATAAAAGTTCTCACAATTACAAATCCTTAAAATAAGAGTTATCATTATATGCAAATATTCAATTTTAAAACTGAATATCTAATAACTTCCTATGACCAAACTCTTAACTTAAAAGAAGAGGAAAGTAATTATATTTTGAGATAAATTTTGTGGCTTAGCAAGATAAGCATAAGCTACTTAAAAAGCTACTCCGTATTTTCTAAGAAGGCTCATATGTATACACGTTGAAGGAGCAAAGGATAAAAATTGTATGGCAAGTAGGATACATCACACTTATGATTAGTTTCTAGCACATTATCATTACCTAGAATAGTAGTTTTAAGCAATTATAGAAAAACCTCTCCATAAGAAGAATTCCTTCAGAAAAGGTTCAACTTGTCCTTACACTTTTTAAATGACTTCTAGAAAAGAGTTTCTTAATTAAATGATATTGACCTGAAATCTCATGTGCAGCTCATATATACTGATATCAGACCTGGAAAGCAGATTTGGTTTCTCATTCCTATTGACCTATCCCATCTTTCAGGCTTTAAATTATCACAATCAAGATCAACAAACAACGTTCGCTTGCCATTGGCAGAAAGACTGTGCAGACAAAGACACAGTATAAAAAATTTGATCAATAGTGCTATAATGTATACAGTTAATACAGTCAGCAGACAAAGAGACAGATATACCCTCTTGAGTATGGATCACAGGTTAAGAATTTCTCAATCTGCAAGCTGGTGGGATGATAGACAGACACTTCATATATATAATTTAAATAATTACTGAATTTAAAATTTTAATTCTTACCTTTTTGGCGAGCGTACAGCGGCGGCGGCGGCGACCTTGGGCGGCAGCGGCGGGGACGTAGATCGGCGATGGACGACGGGATGGCGATGGACGGAAAGATGGAGAGCGTGGACGGCAGGGACGATGGAGACTGATGGGCGGCGTCGGACGGCGGGGACGATGGAGAATGATGGACGGCGATGGAAGCTGCTGATGGATGAAGATCGAAGCGGCTGATGGAGATGATGGCGATGTCGATCTGATCTCTAGCTAGGGCTTTTAGGATAATAAAAAATAAATAAATTGCGTCCAAAGTGGCCACTCTGGACGCGATTTATTATTACTCGCGTCCAAAGTACTGAGCTTTGGACGCGAATAATAGAAGACTTTTAGTATCGTCCAAAGTATAGAGCTTTGGCGGCCAATATTGTTTTAAAATTTTTTTTTAAAAAAAAATTATTTATATAGTGACATTTTAATTACAAAAATGCCACCACATTATACTTTAGACTTTGGACGCGAATTAGTCGATTTTATTGATATTTTTTGTATTAGTGATGGTGGCTGATTTTCTATCGAAGGCAGCCTTTGCAAATCCAGTGGGTTGCCGAGTGCTCAAGGAAGCTCCTCCCGAGATAGAAGATCTTCTCAAGCAAGACATACTAGGAGCAACTTTCAGTAGACACTTATGATTCTTGGGTATTCCCTCCGTTTTTACCCAAAAAAAAAAATGAAGTAGAAGAGGAACAGTACGGATGAGAGAGCTATGAGAATGTGATTAGCTTTTTTCATATATATACCATTCATGAACAAGATCATAGAGGTAAGGGGGTATTTATACTGTTAAGATTTAGAGCAACTCCATCGACTGCAAATTCTATCGTTATCTCACCATTTTGCCAAATTTTGGTTCTCCAATATGCAGCGCCATTACGCTATTTCGCTATTTTTTTTGACGATAATGAACAGTGCAACACGGTTCATCTGCGCCAAATATAAAAGGAAGAGAAACTTACCATTTTGTCCTTGCTTTTTTTGATAATTCTAAATATATCCTTTAATTATTTTATATGTAATTTTTTGTTTTGTTAAATACTTATATTTAAAGTTTGTATTACTAAATATAAACGAGTATTTATCCCGTGCTATGCACGGTTCAAAATCATATCTTATTATTATTATTATAATTAAGATTAAGATGATGATAATTATTATTATTGTTATTATTGGTTTTTATGCAATTTCAAAAAGAAAGTGTATTTATACAACATATGAATTTGATTAGAAACATTTCAGGTGCACCCGAATTTTTATCCATGTGATGCACCGCCTGCAATTTAAATAGATATATTGTTGAAACTTGAAAGGGGTTAAAATAACAAACACATACACATAATTCCCACCTTAACCATATCCGACGGTAGAAAAAAAATCATGATTTTCTGATTCTAAATATGATATGTTTCAAAATCACTTCACCAAGATTACATATGAAAGATAATAAGGTTGTTGGCTTATCAAATTATTTTTTGTATTTTTTTTATTCTTAATACAACATATTTTTTGATTTTTAAACAATACTATCAGTCAGTAGATATTTGATTTGTATTTATATTTTTTTCTGAAACAAATAAAATTTAGAACCAATAAATTATTATAATAGAGTCAATAGCATTAAAAAAAATAATTTATAATGCATTATTAATTACCACTATGTCAATAATAAAAATAACAAATAAAATAAAAATACATGTAAAATATTTTAAATTCAAAAAAATAAGAAAATTTGTTTGATAATAACATACGAATATACATATAATAAAAAATAAATCATCTCTCTCTCCACCCGATCTGCCTGTGTTCTCCCTCGTCTATCTTCGCTTTCCAGAAACTTCCATTTCCGCCATTCTAAAGCTAGAGCTGGAAAGTCCACTATGATATTCTTTTTCTGCCTACCTTACAACTTCAACAGTTTGTTCTGGTTCGCCATTGAAGGAAAGTGGGTATTTACTTTATTATTTTCCATACCGTACTTGATTATCTTTTTGTTCTTTATACGAAGACAAAACTTCAAGAAGAAGAGGAGATCGGGCTGCAAAATGTTTTGATTTCGAAATGGGTTTACGAATGCTCTAAGTTCCACCGATCATCCTTCTCTAAGAGGTTGTCTATTAATCAACTGCTGATTGCATTTGTCTAGAGTTTTTGAAATTGCCTATAAAAAGTACTCGATTATATCTGTATTAATGAAAATTGCTGGGAGATTCTTTAGATAGGAAGTTGAAAAATACATAAACAGCATGCTTCTATTCGTAGAAGGAATTATAAGGATAAAGATTTATTATGTAAAAGCTGCTTGAACTGATTTTTCAACTGACACATTAGACATGAATCTTTCAAAGAAATAAGGCTTGCAAAATCTTAGGCAGAAGAGAGTTAATGAATACAACACAGCTTGAATTCCCATAAAAAATAAGCCATATCAAATCTGTGTATTAAAAATTAGCTTACATGCCATTGACTATCAATTCAATCTCAGCAGTCAACAGTGAACCATTCGTAGGAATTTCTGCCTGCTACTCTGCAAAATTGGACATTGAATTCTTATTTTCCTTAAAAATATTTCAGCATGTTGAAGATCGAAGGAAATAATACTCACTGGGGATGTAGAATGGTTTTCATTGGGCATATGACTGGAAGATTCTATGAGGAAACAATTGGCTTAAATCTTTGATGATCAGCAAGCATTGATTGAAGTTAAACTAATGAGCTTACTGGTTGGTTGATTACAATAAACTTCATTAGCTTTTAAACTGTTTTTAATTTGTTTGCTGTTAATTTGTTGTTCAACTGTTAGAATACTACTACCCATTTACATACTTATATGAGGAGTTCCAAACTAAAATCAAACACATGATCAAGGCCATCCATATCAATGTATGTATCAGCTTTATTGTAAGAAAAATAATAAAGTTATTGTATGTATCAGCTTTATATTGTTGGCTTATCATAGTCTTCAAATTGATTAGGGCCGAACGTAAAATTCAATCTACGATGTTTAATTGAGTTGACAGATCTAAGACATCATCAAGGCCATCCATATCAATGTATAATTACCATCGTCGCGTCATTACTCATTACAATATGTTTCCATATATAGTATGCGTACCGACAAATTATATTGGGAACCATTAATAAATGTTCATCTTTAATATATTTCAAGTATATTATTTA